TCCGGTCACATGGGCGGCAAGCCACTCCCACCCAGTCACATGGGCAGCAAGCCACTCCCACAAAGGAGGCCACACCCACAGAGTAGGTTCGAACAGTTTTTGAAACCCACCACTGTTCTAGTCCCACCTTAGCCAGGAAATCCAGCTGGGAGACCTTCGGCCAGTCACTCTCTCTCAGCCAAGTTACCCCACAGGGGAAAATAGGAGGAGGAAGGTGCACTGGAGATGTTCACTTTCTTGAGTTGTTTGCAAAAAGAATAAGGGCAAGATACAAAACAAGCAAACCAATAACACAACTCTATTGTGTATATGCACGGAGTCTACAACTGCTCACAAGTTTCGCCTGATGTAATTATAAAGTAACATCAAGGGAAGGCGTTTTTTTGTAATATCAAAGGAAGTAAAGAATACATTCAGATGCAGAACAAACACAACAAACAGAATTTAATACACTACACCCTGTTTTTCCATTTCTGAAGAAGTTCTCATGCGGGCCCTTCTCTATGCTAAAACTGGCCACGAAACAGAATCCTTTGCAAGACTCAAAACTGCCCATACTAGTATCCCAAATGACATGTTATTTCACCTGATGTGCACGTAGAGCTGCAAGGAGCATAGGCTGATACCTTCCAGCGATACATGTCAGCCAAGCTGATGTCTTCACGGCCAAGGGGACTCAGTTCAAAGTCATTGCTGCAGGGGGAAAACACATCAGTTTAAGTTTTGGGATGGATGATTTACTACAGGAAGGGAAATATGCTGTCCTTCCCTGGTTTCCACAGAGGCTAAAAGGAATCCCTAGATAGCAATATATTATTTCTCCGCAGTTTGCTTATCTACAATCTGTCACAATTGTAGGGATTGTAGAGAATTTAATCATCTAAGAGCAATGTTCTTCAAGTAAAGGGCACACTAGGCTGCATCAAAAAATATTTAGTTTAAATACTAACAAGAGTCTTCCCAGTAGAGTAGACTTCCCATTGTGTCTCTATGATTTAATGCCCCAGTGTGCAATGTTCCAATCAGCCTCCGGTAAGGCTATGTATTAGCGCTGTGTCTTTGATCCAAACTATACAAAAAGTAGCCTTCTCTATCATTGGATAATTGCATCAGCGATGATGTGCTGCCAATCACCTCCCAAAGACCCATTAGATCACACAGATTAGGCCTCCTCCGGGTCCCGTCTATCAGCCAATGTCATCTGGCTACTACCCGGGGGAGGGCTTTCTCTGTGGCGGCTCCGG